TAGTTCCCACAGTCTGATAAAACCAAGTACATTGGTTCCTTAGGAGAGAAAAGACTTCCTCAGACTCTAAATTCACAGATATCTTCTAGATAGCTCTCAGATTCTCCTGTTTCTCCTCCATGGTTACTGCCACAAACCCAGCGCAAAGTTCTAGGATCTCTTCTCTGGATTACCTGAATGATTACCAGTCATCAACTCTCCAGATCCTAGCACAGTCTCCACACCATAGGAGTGATCCTTTAAAATGCAGATATGAAATCACATCTCATTGCTTTTTTAAAATTGAGATATAACTGACATATAACACTGTAGTTTTAGGTGTACAACATAATGATTTGATATGTATAGCAAAATGATTACCACAATAAGTTTCAGTTAATATCCATCACTACATACGGTTACAATTTTTTTTCTGGTGCACATCTGATTGCTTTAAGGACAAAGTCCAAAATCCTGAGTACTGCATACAAAGCACAATCTGGCCCAAGACTACTTCTCCAGACTAGTTACAAACAGGTCTAAGCATAGGCTTTGCTTGGCAGCCTCTGAGCAACAACCCCCCTCCGCCCCACACACTATTTAGTAACTATCTTGCTCTCTATTATTTTATACATGGCTAACCCATAGGTGTCAGCCATCTGACCCTGAAGGCATTTGATTTTGCAATGATGCTCTTTTTTTTGGATCATATCTCAGCATAGACCAAAGTGGTTCTTTAAGGGATGAAAATGGCCTGAGCCTACTGGGCTTTCTCCATGATTAGGTTCATTTTCATAAATACAAGAAGTTTCAAATAGCTAATTAAGCAAATTAAGAGATTTAGAGCCATCTCCATAGCCCCACAGCCAGGTGTGAAGGCAAATGTCAGACTGAATTCTATAACACATTTAAACATTTATGTGCAAGCATATACAGGAACAGTCCTGTAATATGTTTATAAGCTCAATGATGTCCGTCTCTCAGGCCTCTCAAGTTCACATCCTCTATGAAAGATTCACTTGAGGAAATGTGACAGTTTTCTGGTCTGAGGATGCTGCTAAGATTATAGCTGGATTTAGGCAATGAGTTCCCTAAGTCAGTGACTGGACACAGGGCTGGGTCAGAATTAAGCCTTGGGCTCCATTCTGGAAGGTAAAGGCTTTTAAGTAAAGGTGGGAATGCTTTCCCTGAATCTTATATACCACTTATTTATCAGGTGAAAAATAACTTATAATGTCTATGGTGCTATCTAAAACACCCTCTAATATTAACTGAAGATAAAGATAACTGTTGGGAAAGGCAGTCTCCTGCATGTGGTCTTTCATGCTTACTTGGCTGCGTAAGAATAGGCCTTGGACCTGGAACACTTCCTTACCAAAAGATAAAGAGCCCATACAGCCTGTGCTGGGCTTATCACTGCTCTTTCAAACACATTTTTACCTCCAGCCCCTTCTCTCTCACCTTAGAAATATTTCCATTTTTTTTTGACCCTATAACTCCCTTTACCTTTCCCCTATTGTTCTGCAACTTCTACTTCCCTTTCTTACCTTCTATGCATCTTCAATCACACACAAACTGGTGTCTACTTCCTTTGCTCCCAATGCAAAGGTTCTTGCCCAAGTCACTAAGGATCAAATTAATTTTTTTTAAATCTGAGGCATTTGCAGAGTCAGTATATTAATTAGGGTAGGTGAGGATATGCTGCTGGAACTCCTAAATCTTAATGGCATTACCCAATAAATGTTTATTTTTTGCTCATGTCATGATCTACTTAAGTAAATATTCACTTTTGTGTGTTTTCCATGTGGTGATTCGGGAACATAGGCTGCTTTCATCTTGTGGTTCCACCATGCCCTGAGGACTTCTTCATCCCCTGGACCTCTGCATCTGGCAGCTGATGAACAAAGGACTGTGTGGATTGTTAGGGGACAGAACTGGAGGAGAAACAGATCACTTTTCCTTTTATTGCACTCGCCATACATAGCCTGAAGGGCAGGCTGGGAAATGCACGGTAGCTGTCCCATTGGAAAAAGAAACTGCTGAGGGTACAGCAGTTCTTCACCGAAGTCTGCCATTCCTCCTTTTTGAACTTTCTCTCCTTTGACGTCCATGGCTCCATTCTCTCTTCTGGTTTCAGTCTTCAAATCTTGACAGCTTGTTTTCAGTCTTCTTCAAGGCTCCTCTCTCTTCTGTTCATTCCCTTAATACTGGTATTCCCCAGCATTTGTCTTTAGGCTCATTTCTCTTCTCACTACAGTACTCTCCCTGGAATTTTCTGCAAACAACCAGAACATCTGCCTCCGTCTTTCTGGTCATACCTCCATGTAAAACCAGCTCTTCATCCCATAAGTCCCCATCCTGATGAAGTGGGCATCTACTCAGTCATTAGACCAGAAAACTGGAAGTGATCCTACATTCTCTCTTATCCTCTACAACCAAGGTTTCTCAAACACCACACTATTGACATCTCAGGCTGGATAATTCTTTGTTGGGGAAGCTGTCCTGTTCATTATAGGATGTTGAGCAGCATCCCTGGCTTCTAGCTACTAGATGACAGTGGCTAACTGCCCCATCCTTTCATCAAGTCGTGGCAACCAACAATATCTCCAGACATTGCCAAATGACTCTTGAGTAGGGAGGGGCTCACCCCCAGTTGAGAACTGCATCATCCAGTCCTATAGATTCAACCCACTGTAATATTTATCCCCTCCATTCCATTTTCTTGCCATTAATTTTGTTAAATTCCACATCACTTTGTGTCTGGATTTCTCCAATTGCCTCTTATTTGGCTGTGGCAAGTTGACTGACAACAGTTATTCTTGACTCAAGTCTTCACTGACACCTTGCACTACAGAACAACAGAATACTTGTCTCTTAGCCTCCCTTGCATGGCCAGATGACACCATTTAGCATGGCAAGTAGATTTGTGAAGAGAGTGACAGGTGAACTTAAAAGTTCTAAGGCTTTGGAATCAACCAGCTTAGATTGTATCTTAGCTTCATCACTCTGGTAGCTGTGTAGTTTTAGGAAAGTTACTTAAGTTTTCTGTGCCCCATCAGTAACACTGGGCCAATAATAGTACCAACCTTATAATATTATTATGAAGTTAAACAAGTTAATATGTACAAATTGTTTAGTTTATACTTGGCCAAATGTAAACACTGAATAAATGGTGGCTACGATATAGAACTGGCAGGGATGATGTAATCTCTCTTCTCCTTGCTAATCTCAAAGGTTACTACTTCACATCCCACCCCTGACCACTGTTCACCTTTTAAGACTCAGTTTAGGGGAATCTTACTCTGGAGGTTTTCTCACACTTTTCCTTCCGAATTACAGTCCCTTTCTCAGATATTACTTAATTTTCTCCCTCACTAATCTTTGAACTTCTACAAAGCAAGGGCCAGACCTTTCTTTTCTCTTTCTATATAGTCCCAGGACCACCACAAATGCTCAATAAATATGAAATGCTCAGTAAAGATTTGTTGACTAAATCCAAAGTGAATGAATATTAGTAACATACACCAGCCTTGCAAATAATTTCCCTTCCATTTAGCAGCAGATAGAGCAAGTGGATTTCTAGAAAGCTTTTGACATACCTAGTGTAAATGAAACACAAATCAACCAGGTGAATTTTTAAAGGAAATTTATCTCACTAGCCTGGCAACCCTGGCCAGCTTTTAAGAAAATTGAAGCTAGGAACCACATTATTATTAGGATAAAGAGGAAAACTATACATGCAACCCTAAACCTTTCAGACATCCTTTAAAAAATTTATTTTAAATAAATTCATCTAACTGCACAGGAGAGTAGCACTGGGAATTGTTAATTGACGGAGAAGTCACAGTTTTAAAACTCCATTGATACGCTTTCTAAAAACGAGGAGCTTTAAATTGCCTTGTGGTTAAAGGAACTTTTAACTACACACACACACTTTTTTTTACCTGTCCAGTCTTTAACAGGCTGTTAATAAATTGGAAACTTATTCTCATCCTGGTCTCTGTGAAGGAAGACCCAGCCAGGTTTGGTTAGAATTTGGTGGTGGCTTTTCTTCCTGGGTTTTGGACCCAACCATTTAACCAACTTCAACTAAGATTCCCTTCTCTAGATCAAAATTTATTAGAACATCTCTTCTGGAGTCATTCCTAAATCAAATCTTATTAAAAAGTGACTAGAAACAAATTACTAGAAACGACGAAATTTCTTAAAAAGTCTTCAAGAAAAAACTCATTTCCTTTGCCTTAACAAGGCGGGGGTGGGGGCGCACCTCATATGCAACCCACTCTTTAAAACTTTTCATCTGTAGGACCACGATGTCTCAGTAACACTTGTGACTTTCTCTGATGACCAGAGCCCTTCAAGACACTAGTGACTACTACTCTTTTCCCTTGGATGCCCCTTCGTTCCTGAAAGAGTGACATGAAGACTGGAGAGCCAGGGGTCGACAACAGGTGGTACACCGATCGCTCTCTGGAAGCGAGCGCCTCCCGCCTTCTGGCACGCCTCATCCGTGGTGGCGTGCTCTCGCGCCCCGGCGGCTGCGTGGGCTCCAGAGCGAGGGTCCCGGCCGCTGGGAGGGGGCGAGCGCGCCCGGTTCACGTCGCCTCCACGCCCACCTCCTCCCGCTACGCGTCCCCTCCCTTTGCGAAAGCTCAGAGTCTCGGGGCCGCCCTTATTGTTGGCCGCGTCTATCACTGTGGGCCGGGTGACATGAATGGATGGGCTAGACACACCTTCCAGTCTTCTAGAAGAAAAAAAAAAAAAAAAAGTCCGGATCTGCATAGGGAGCGGGAGGGACTCCTCCGGCGCCCCCAGAGCCTACGCCGCGGGCCAGAGACACGCACAGCTTCCCCCTCCCACACTCACTCCTCCCATCCTTTAAAAAAAAAAACGCCCAACCCAAATAAATAATATCGTTCCAAGCCTGGCGGCGTCCTCGATGCCCTCTCCTCCTTCCCGGGCTCAGCACATTCCAGTTCTGCGGGAGGCTGCGACCGGAGGCGGCGGCGCGGACCCGGTGCGGGGCGCGGGGCTAGAGGCGGACGCGCAGGCGGCTCGCTAGCGCCGCACTATGCTCCCCAGCGCCGTGGCGGCCCACGCCGGCGCGTACTGGGACGTGGTAGCGTCCTCCGCGCTCCTCAACTTCCCCACAGCGCCGGGCTTTGGCAACCTGGGCAAGAGTTTCCTGATCGAAAACTTGCTGCGGGCTGGGGGCGCCCCGCCGCACGGGCTGCAGCCACCCGCGCACCACGGCCCGGCGTCGACTCTAGTCGCCGCCGCCGCCACTGCCGCGGGCGTGCAGGTCCGGCCCCTGCCGGCCAGCCCCGTTCCCCTCAAGCTGTGCCCTGCGGCGGAACAAGTCAGCCCCGGCGGCGCGCCTTACGGCACGCGTTGGGCTTTTCAAGTGCTCGGCCCCTCGGCGGACGGCGCCAGGCTGCCGGGTCGGGCTGCGGCGGACCGGGATTGTACCTTCCAGCCTTCCGCCCCAGGTGAGCTAGCTTTTCTCTCCCTAGCCGCGCCCGGCGCCTCCTGCCCCGCGGGGCCGGAATCCGGGCCCTCGGCGGTGCGCCCTGCGCCGAGGGAGCGCCGGCCCCAGCCCGCAGGAATCAGCTCTGGGCTGGGACCTTCCTAGAGCGTCTCGAGCTTTAGTGGAGATGCCACTTCGGGGGTAAAGAGGGTACCACCACTAACTGTGACACCTCCCCTCCCCCACCCCATACCACCAGCTTCCTCTCGGTCTCCTTTCAACAAGTGGTAGGGCTACCTTGATTTTTCAGGCCTTTCCGGAAAAACCCTGAATGCACCTCATTGGGTTAGCGGGAAAGGGCAGCCCCGGTCCCAAGATCTCTGGGCTCGCTGGAGCAGTTTCACGGGGTTTCCCAAGTGGAGCGTTTCTCCCCGCCGGCTCCTGTCCTGGAGGCCGCGCGACACCAGCTCCCTGGGAAGTTCTTGGCCAGCAGAAGTTCGCGAGGCTCGCTTTGGGGGCTTTTCCTTCTCAAACTGTTGGGATGGCCGGGGCAGTTCAAGAACGCTGGCAAAGATCTTTGGAAGGAGAGTTGCGCAAACTTTTGGCTTTCTTCATTCTTAACATTTTGGATCACTAAGGCACAAGGAAATCAAGACCGACTTTCTCTTTGTGCTGAGCCGGAACAGCTGAATTGGCACCTGAAATAGGAGATTCACCAATAAATGGGAATTTACTTACCCAAAGAAAGGCAATTTTGGTTTGTTTTCATTTTCGGATAAAACCTAAGTGGTGTGATTGGGAAGAGGATGCGGACGGTTTAGTCAGATATTAGCTAAAGCATATGGAGAGGCAGCCGAAATGGGCAGTGAAAAAAGGAAGAGTCTCTTAAACACTCAGAAGCTGAGATCCAGTTGGATTAATTTTTTTTTTTCTGCTGCGTCCTTAGACGATCTTAACTCATTCTTTTAATCCCGATGGGTTTGTCCAGAATGACTAATAGACGCTTTTTCAGCAGATTCCATTGTCCCAGCAAACTGCCGGATCAAATTTATTGCTAATGGCTTTATAGAATTTAACGTGTTTAGAACCTGTCCTGGTCTTTCAGTTTGAAATGGTTACTAACAAAATGGAACAAATATAATTATATGAGCACCGGTCTCATTCTCATGGTGGAAAACCTAAACTCTAGGAAGCCTTGGGAAAGGAACAAACACAGATAAAGGCAGGGCTTATGTTCCTTGGAAATTTGGGCCGCTCTGTTATTTCTGAAGTATTTGGAAAATTAGAAACGTATAAAGCAGGTTCACCTAGATAAGAGTTAGTAAATAATGTGTCATGAAAAATAACATTTTCGGAGAGTGGTGATTTGCCTAACTTTTAGTGGTTTGGCATTGTGTTCATAGAAGTTATTTTTAAGGATTTTTAAATTGCTCCTGATCATGATTGGTTACTCAACCATTGAAAGTTACTTAATTTTCACCTTTGTAGATTTTACAGATTAAACTTAAATAAACCAAATACAAATCAAATGCAGATAATTCAATAACTGAAAAAGAATTTTGTGTATCTGTTTCATTAAAAATATTGCAATTATTGGGTAAAGGTACTCCTAACTACATTTTTAAAAAATTTTCAAGGATATATTCATTCTTGTACACTTATTAAAGTGTCAAAATGCAAAAACGATTTTTTGGAATAAGAGTACAAGAATTTATATTTCTCTTTTAAGTATACTAATCTAGTGTGAGCATATATTTTCCCAATATTTTATTCCATCCTCACTGAAGATATGATATTCTCCTCGGTTAATTTTCATTTGAACAAATAACCTTTTATTTAAAAAAAAGTGCATTTAATTTTTGAATCTAGAGAAGTAGCTTAAGAAAGTTAAAACTCTATATTTGTTCCTACAAATATGCTGCTTAGAACCAGGATTTACATTCATTTATCTTTGTAATTTGACACAGAACGTAGTTTTCTGAACATTGCCCTAGTTTTATTTAAGTAACAGATTTTTGTCCTACCAAATGTTGTGGGAATTCTTTTCTACTGTGTAGAATTATGAAGTTATAATGAATACTGACAAGGTTACTATCACCTGAAAATTAGCTGACTGATGATATAGTGATTGATGTTCTGTAGAGAATATAGAGGAGATAGAAGAGCTACTGTTTTTGGAAAGATAACAGTATTTCTTTATATTTCTGAAACGTGAGCAAACAACCGCTTCTGATCCTTTAGACATTTACTTTGGAGTGGATCACAAAATGTGATTTTTAATCATTTCAGCATATTGACTACTTGCTTTCTTTTTCAACCTTAACTCGTCGAGTGTACCAATCCAAATGTCGAATGAAAAAACCCCAGAGTTCTTTTTATTGGTGCCTTGGTGAAATACAGAACCATTTAACTAGGGGACTTATGCCACTGCATGCAATTTCAGCTTCATTATCTTTGTTACCCATTTTTAATTATACCACATATTTCATTCATGCAGCAAATGCTTACTGACTATCTCCCATGTGTCAGGCTCTGTCCAGGACAGTGGAATAGTCAGTGCCCAAAATAGATGACTGTCTCTGCCCCTGTGGAGCTTATATTCCATGTTCATACTGCTCTATGGCTTACCAAGCATTTTCATAATTGTTAGCTGCTGTAATCTTTTTTTTTTAAAGATTTTATTTATTTTTTTGACAGAGACAGCGAGAGAGGGAACACAAGCAGGGGGAGTAGGAGAGGTTAGAAGCAGGCTTCCCATTGAGCAAGGAGCCCGATGCGGGCTTGATGCGGGCTCCATCCCAGGATCCTGGGATCATGACCTGAGCTGAAGGTAGACGCTTAACGACTGAGCCACCCAAGCGCCCCTGCCTTAATCTTTCTAGTAGGCCAGTTTTTTTCTACAGTGATTTACTTCACTTGCTAATTTTTTTTTTTTTTTTTGTCAGAAGTAACAGTGAAAACTTCTGTGGACTTGTGGAAGAGAAAAAATCGCCCCATATTTTCGTATTCCTTAAATTAGTTTTTTGTTGAATATCAGAAACTAGTAATAACCAATTACATGTATCACAATAATAAATCAATTGTGATTTTGTATCTGAGCCCAGAAGGAAAGAAATTGGCCTTCCCGTTCATCTTGCTGTGGGTCTCTGCAAGGTGGTGACAGTTAAGCAGTAAGATGGATTTACAGGTAGTAAATGAGAGGATAACTCTCAGTGCTTCATCCTTGAAAAGTCAAGTCTTTGGGTATTTGAAGTAGGAAGAAAGCACTGTAGCTATATGTCGTCAAGTGGTTTATATAGAGTAGTGTAAAAACTTTAAAAATCAAAGGGCATTCCTCAAGGCTCAAGACGGGCACATTTAGTGCAATAGAAGGTAGTAAATAGTTCACCTCCAGGGTTGAATCTTTGGATCTGTTTTAGTTTATTAGGGGAAACTAGGAAGTTTTGCAAGTAAATTAGAATCATCAGAGATCCTTCCCCAAAAGTTTATTAATGTCATTATTTGGTGAATATTATGCTAGATTAAAATATTCATGTTTTTGTATATAAAAGGGAGCCTTGAAGTGTAAAAAGCTGAAAAATTTAAATTTCTCTTGGTTATGTCACCAGTTTTATTAAAAAATAAGTGGAAATAGCCTTGCTTTTTAATGACATTTGTCATTTTAAACATTTTAAAAAATGTTTGATGGAAAGATAATTTCCTGAATGTAATTTATTTATTATTAAATCTACTCCTTAAGAGGATTAGAAAGCAAATGTTTCTTCTGGTAGATGAGTCCTTTTTTTTTTTTTTTTAAATCTTTTTAAAATGGATTTTATCCAGTAAGTTGTACTGTATTCTATAGGAAAGGAACCAGACCATGTCATTTTTCTGGCCCCTTGTTAAGATTGCTTCTTACCATTAATACTTAATGTGCATTCTAGTTTTCTTGTCCACCTCCCAATTCCAGTTACTATTTACCTGTTAATCCATGACTCTGTCTTAAATTAATTGCACTTAGTTTTGTCTAGTCCAACTTGAAGACTTTGTGATTTAATTTATTGAGCGAAAGTTTGTCACTTAATTTTGCTACCGTTGTGCTTTAGATTTGTTCTGGCAAATTAAAATCACAGCATCTTGAATGTTGGTGATGCTGACCCAGAATCAGGACGGAGAATGCAGAATCCAGAGAAGGATAAGGATGGACCCCATTCCAGTAGTTCCTTGCTCAGGCCATTACCTCAACCATCTTTTGGTGGAATTTTTAGATAATACTGAACCATATTCTTACTGCATGTGCATATTTTTTGTATTTTCTTAACATGTCTTTGGATTTATATTGACATATTAATAACTTTACATAGTTAGAATCAGCTCTGAACAAACTGTTCTATGTTCCCCAAGTTAATGAACTCCTTCAGATTCATGGAGAAATGACTAATAGACAGTCCCTTCCCTACTAATAGTGATTCAGTAAGCCACCCTCTTTACAGAATAACACCTGATTTGGAGCTACAATGGGGTAGCAATTTATGTGCATTTAATTCGCCTCTGACTTTAGTACCTGTCCCACTCCCAACCCTTACATATGCTTCTCTACCTTCTCTACTTCACTTTAACAACAAGGAATCTCAATCTGTTAACATGTATTGAAGCTATTGAGTTTTAATAATAAAACAGGAGTAAATCCAGCAGGCAAGTAGGAACATTTTAGAACTTTCCCCTGAACTCCTATTGACTTAAGAGATCTGAGGGATATTTTAAGAGGCACAATGGTTTGAATGCCCAGAAAATTGCATACACATTTATGCATAAGTAAACATAGGATTCAGAGAGTTCAGGGTTGCATGCAGGAAGCCAAAGGATGCCATATGTTGTGGGCAATTTGAAAGGATTGTCGACAGTGATTTTATCCACATTTATTTGCCATAAATGGGCCTCAGATATTGGAACTGAAGCTGTGAATTAGACTCCATGGTATCCCTCTTTGAGTGTGCCTCCTTCCTCCTGCTCTTGTGCCTACCAGAAAAAAAAGTCTCCTTT